AAAAAAAACACACCAATGCTCCCCTCTTGAAATTAGTATTTTGACTAGCTGAATCATAGTTCTAAACCGTACCAAATGGCACCGTTCGACCTCTAAAATACCCAAATTTTCGCATCCGCGGCCTGTCATTCCAAAAAACCGGACCCTGCCCTTCAAACAAACATGTAGTCGCCACTGATAATGCAGTTATTGACATGGGTTGCAAATAATTTACTAATATCAGAAATATGTATACGTAACAGGGAAAAAGAAAAAAACTGAAGCATATTTTCGTAATGGAAGTTTTCGTCTTTAATGTTTAAGGTACTTAAATGTATAAACCGAACCCGTGCGTCATGTAAGGTACCATTTAGAGAATCGTTTCCTACTATTCTCGAAGGATAATAAACGAAGATGGTTTGGTAACATAGAAAAAATAAATTACAGATTCATTTTTGTAGCCAAACAAAGTACTTTGGAACATATCAAGTCAAAAATATAAAATAGATAATAAATTCAAAGTGCTACAGACAAAGGCACACGTAATATATATATCGGGTTGCGTTTCACGCCCTAACGCATTCAGAACTATTGATTTTCCCAACCGGGTCTGTCTCTACTGACGCATTTTAATAGCATATCGCTGCAATACGGACCCAACATGTTCTATGGCACACTGGCAACATAATAGCACTAAACGGCTATCTATTTGTATATAAAATTTAATCAATCAATGAGGTCGACATGTATGATATAAGCAACGTTAGAACTTAATAATATATAGTAAGTGGGGCAGGTTTAGTTCTGCAAGCGTCCACAAGCGAACTGCAAGCATATAAGTTTTATTTACCAGTATGACCGCATTCAGAACAGTGGACTAACTAAATCCGAGGGTCAAATATGGCCGACCCGCTTGAATACTTCTCCATGGGAAATCTATTCAGTGTCTATTAGCAGATTAGACGGCAAGTTTTTTTAGTGGGTCGCCATATTTGACCCTCGAACTTGTTAGTCCACTGTTCTGAATGCGGCCTTTGTGTTTTAGATTAGACCTACTCCATTCCAGTCTTTTTATTTTAATCTCAAATAAACACAGATGTCTAATAATACATATTGCATCCTTCAAAAGAGGAAGGACAAGGTTTCTTTAACGAAGTACCCTGTAACTATTATCTAATTTTTAAAAACTTCCGTGGGGATGCTGCATTTACCATTACAAGATTAAATGCACCCATTTCTATGAAAGAAAGCTTGAATTAAACGCTCTCATGTTTGCAGGCATTTACTCATAGTATTTAAATTAGTTCTTCCAAAGACCGTAACGGCTGTAACTTTCCTATAAAGATGCAACAAAATACGACCATCGATGATAAGAAAATTTCAGCCACATTTTCTTCATCGACCATCAAATAAATCAGGTTCGTAATAAGATCCGAAAATATCAACCCCTTCTTGGTGAATTTGAAAAGAAATAAATTTGCATTGTATAGCTTTTCAATTCCTTGGCACGTGCCCCTGTGCTAATTTAATTTGGTGTAGATTCATGAGATGCGATACGGTGTGTGTCAAAAATCTGTCGCCCTCGGTGACCGTGTATAGGTATACTCTAAGAACCCAGCTCAGAGGTCACGGATCATATATACAAACAACTACCGAATGATTACAAAGATTTCATGCCCCGGGAAGGGAAACGGGCAGACTTACCTGCAAACAAAGTACAGGGGTGTTTTCAGACAATACATCTTACAACGGATCTTCCAACTGGAGTAGGAAGGCAATTAAAATACCGAAGAAAGCGTTTGTTATGTAGATCTGAAACGAATAATACATTTCCTGCGCTGTTTACATAGGACATTGTGAACCCGCCTTTCATTCAGCGAGCAAAGTTGTGTATGAATGAATAAGCACTATGTGAGTAAGATTAAGATTAATAATACAATCATATTTATAGGATTGGTCCCCAGCGAACCCAGACTGTGCTGTACGCGTGTTCAACATAACGTAAATTGTTGGCAGTTTCCCGGAATTTCACCTTATGAGAGATAAAATACGGTAGTCTATCAAATTGGCAGCATTATAACGGCTACACGTGAAACAGAGGTGTTTGCCAGTTGAGATTGCTGTTTATGATACTCAACTCACCCGAAAACACGCTGAGAACAACAAAGAAGGCAAGTTACATATTCGAATTCTGAAAAATTTAACATTCTCGTATTCAGAACTAGTTTTGAATTGGTATTTCTTTTTCTTCGTACAGAGTAATATATATAAGAAGCTTAACAACATAAATTTGAACATATCAGTACTAATCGTATGTGTTATAATTTGACATAACTGATCAGTACTTTTAATTTTTATTTCCATTTGATTGAATTCAAAATCTGCTGGCCAGGAGTACGTAACGCATACGTTGTATGAGAGGGGAAAAACAGAATATGTTAATATGTGCTATCTTTGAGGACACATCTTCAGCAATTACCAATTCTGTACATTTTTTGTGAAAATTTGATATAATTTATGTCATTGTAGCTTGAGAGAGAGAGAGAGAGAGAGAGAGAGAGAGCGCTTGAGCTTTAGCATACAAACACACCTCTCGTCTTTTACTCTGGTTAATCTGTTGGTCTATACACACAGTAAAATAACGCCCAAGTGTACATTGAAATGTAGAGTGCACGTTGATCTTACACACACAAAATGAATTCGGATACAGTCTTAAAATTTCTAAATTCAATACCGTATAAAAGACTTGTGGCATTCACCGTCTGCCGATCATAAATCATACGGTAAATCAGGCCCCTCTGGAAGTCATTTCGTTAGGTCTGTACTGGAGGGAAGTTTTAAACATGTTCATCATATTTTTCCTAACAGTGTCCTATTAGGTATAATTACCATAAAAGGGAATATGTGTGGTTGTAGCAGTTATTCTTTTCCTATGGCCAAATTAAATAGGACAGTTTGGTACTTATGTGTAAGCAAGTGGTCAATATTTAGATCAAAAGGCATACTTTGTGATCACAATGAGATTCAACCACAGCAAGATTATCAAAATACGTTGACAACCACGGCCACCGCCTCTTGGTCATTTTTACGCTGAATAAAGACCAACGTTTTTATGATAAATATTCATCCTCATAGAGGCAATATGAAATAGCCGTACTCTGGAAAACTGTTGTATAACAAGGTGCTCAGATACCTGCTACAGGTAACGGCTGATGTAATCGCAAGACTTGTTGCTAATTTGAAACCGCGGTTCTTTGCATAGCAGAGTTATTTTGTGTTGTTTGTGGTGTAGAGCATATCAATTTCATGCGCGATATAGTTAGTAAGCTTTCGCCTTGGTGCAGAGAAACGGTACATATACAGTGTAATGTAAGAGCAAAACCAGCACCAATTTTTTTTGTTTAACTATAAAACATCCCAAATCAAATATACAAACTCCTCGGGTGACATCCACTAGGTAGGTAACGGTGCAGGTCAATTTTAGTCACAAGTGCGTTAAGAAAGGTGTCATAAAAATACGTAATTAAAGTGTGTGTGTTGTTTAAATAATACTCAGCGGCTCGACAAATGACACAATGTAAACCAACCAGAATAATGTTGTATTGGGCAAATATATTAACGGTTTCTTGATTTCTTAAAATAAAAGGCTACCCTGTCTGCCAGGACAAAAGGAGGTGTGTGAGGGGAGAGAGGGAGACCCTGAATGCTGAACCCCATATAAAATTATTCCCCGAAAAGGTGACGAGGTATATAGCCACAGAATGTTACGTTGTTTGAGTCCCAAAAATATAGTGTCTGTTCCATACAGGAACTGTATGAAATAATATTTTCATGTCCTTTTGTTTACTTTTCAGCAAAATGATTTCGGAGAGCATTAAGGTAATGAGAAAGGTGCTGCAAGGCCTTCGAGCAGACGAAGACTTTTACAACCGCCTCAGTCACCGATGGACAGTTTTGATTCTGGTGGTCTTCTCTTTATTTGTCAACATGAAGCAGTACGCAGGGTCCCCCATCATATGCTGGGTTCCGGATAAATTTACCAGCGCATGGAAAAAATACACGAATCAGATGTGCTTCATAGAACCCATGTACTTCATTCCATTTCAAGAGAGGATACCAGATCCTGAATTACCAACGCCACATTTTACATATTACATTTGGATTCCTCTCGTGCTTCTCGTACAAGCCGCCATGTTTTATGCACCTCGCGTCGTCTGGCGTTTGATGTGTGGTTCGGCTGGAATAAATATCAGGAGTATCATACTGTTATTAGAAAAAGAAACTATGAACAATGAAAAAAGAAAAAATAATGTTGATCTCGTCTGCAAATATATTGAACGTTTTCTTGGTCGATGTAGAAAGTACAAAATTGACTGTAAAGGGTATGTGAGACGCATACTTATTGGCTACTGGTGCTTTTGTGTCGGACGCGCCAAGGGCAACTATCTCTTCTTCTTGTTCCTCTGGTGCAAGGTGCTCTACGTTTTAAACATAATAGGACAGATGTTTTTACTGAACTGGTTTCTAAGCAGCGACTTCCATTCCTATGGCACTGAGATAATAGCAGACTTCATGCAATGGCGGGACTGGACTGAAACTTCACGATTCCCCAGGGTTATTCTTTGTAACCTGAAGATCCGCGTCTTGGGTGGAAACATCCATCGTCATACAGTCCAGTGTGCGCTGCCTGTGAACTATTTCAACGAAAGAATCTATTTGTTTATTTGGTTTTGGTTTCTGTTGTTGACCATTGCCACAATCATGGGGTTTTTCATATGGGTCAGTTTAGCATTTCAGAGGGAAAGGCAATATTTCGTCAGGAATTGCCTTAAAATAAAGGGACTTCATAAACCGGGTAGTAAATCGGACAAAAATGATCTCAACGAGTTTGTCAGAGACTACTTAAGATTGGACGGAGCGTTCATTTTAAAACTTATGGCCAGAAACACAAATGACATTGTTGTGGCAGATATCGTTTGCAAACTTTTTAAGCGATTCCAAACGAAAAAATACAAAAACAACAATGGTGATATTACAGACCCTACCACCACCACTGTGAATGGAGGCCTACGAAATGGAGGACATCTGAAAGAAGTCTAATGATAGCATAAACATCCGTTAAAAAGAGACAACAGGAACTCGTTTAATACTTAATTAATTTGTATACAATTTCCACTTTATTTCTGGTTTAAAATGCACCGAGTGTTCACTGTGTGGATGATTTTTAATATTAGGGTCATGTTACTTAACGCCTGTAGGCCTAAATTCACCTTTCCACCGTGTGAATAGACATTTGATAATTTCACAGTTTGGTCACAGTTGATGTTAGAGTTTACTTCAGAGTCTACAGACTTCACAGCACTGATTCAGTTCAGGTGAAATCAAAATAATTGTGAAACCCGGTCCATTTCATAAATAAGGAATCTTTCAGGTCACTTAAAAAGTGACAAGTAATTGCTCAAATAACATCAATGCATAATAAATAAATGAAAGGACAATAAAAAGATTAATAAAAAAGTGTCCTGGTTATCTTTTTAATAATTTCTTATCATTTTCTAATAATTAGGACGCTATATTGTTTTGTCTATGAAGAAAGAAAACGACCAACTATGTTAACGCTTAAAAATCCAAAATAATAGTAAAACATTAAGTTTTACCTATTATTTTAAACCCAGGTAAAACCTTTAAAATTGCTCGCACCGTACATGTAGGTCTAGGGGCCTCAAAAAAAAAAAAAAAAAAAAAAAAAAAAAAAAAAAAAAAAATCGACCCTAGATACTTTGTCCGTGAAACAACATAGGTTAAACAAAGTAAAACAATACTTTATTTTGTCTATCCAGCCTGTTTTGAGATATGGTAACCCGTCTTCAAAATATGGTGCGTGAGAATGTGAGAGGCGAATTCTACTGTATTGCAAAGGGAATCTTGAGTTTTCTTTCAAAGCAGTGCATCTTCGGACTTAAGAATCTTACACTCAATCTTAAAATTATCAAACCCATAAACAGTACCAACAGTAGCTCAAAAGCACAAAGGAAAATAGTATTGGGGAACTGTGTCTTCCTCCAGCAAAATTCAATCAATCATGGGTTGTGCGCGTGCGCTAGTATCAAAACGTAAACATCCGGTGTGGCGTGACAGAGCAGTTGACAAATATGTGGATCTTCGGGTATGGTTCACTGATATGGAAAGTTGATTTTCCTTATGAGCAAAAAGTGGTTGGGTACATTAAGGGTTTTCGCAGACGATTTTGGCAAGCCAGTGAAGATCATCGAGGCGTGCCAGGAAATGTAAGATATGTGTCAAGGTGAAAAGCCCATAACGTATGGACATAAAACAGTAGTACCTGTACATGTACTGTAGGTTGTCTCTAATTTTCTGCTTTACATTGTTGTGTTCGTGTCATGCACCTACCTTAGGCAGTATGTAAGCCCAAAAAGTGAGGCAAATGTTAATGAAGCACTGAAGGTAAAAAGAACCAGTCATTCCATCGTCTCCACTGAAGTTCTGTTTTTAAACAGTTTGGCTAAAAACCAGCAAATCCAGAGACTACCCTTAAATTAAAGAGGAGGGCTTCATATCATGGAGGGGGGGGGATCAAGATAGTTAATCATGGTTACTATGTGTGATAAGGAATCAAGCTATTTATACCCGGTATATTATCTACAGTTATAGAGTGCCTTACATAGTGTCTATATATATTTCTTGATGTAAATGCCAACATGTTGTTAAAATGTTAAAATAACTCTGAATGCATCTTGACATTCATCTGGATCAGATCTCTTTTTAGACATTTAGATCTCTTCTTTTTGCAATTTATCTAAATATAACAGAAAATATTGTTGTCTTAATTATAGCCCGGCCGAGTGGTTGTATTGGTGAAGTCAGAGGATCGTGAGGTAATTTTACTAGAACCACTTATTTAACTTTGTAAGCTTTATTTGCCATAACTTATGCACATGCTAACAGTGAAAGATTGTTTGTAAAAAGGTTTTCAAGTCATGGGAAAGAAAGAGAGCCCTAACTTCAGAACTGTATGTCTTTGAGGCTACAGCAAAATCAAAATTACACTTTAAAACTTTTTTAAAGAAAATTTGCACCCTTTAACTCCCACTGTTATTTTGATGTTAACTGCAAAATTTGCAAGGAAAACATTACAATATTGCATATTATTAATACTTTATTGTTATTAAAACTCACAATCTGAAAATATCTTAACTACTGAAAGATCATTTAGTCAGTTAACTGCCACAAACTCAGTATCCTGGTTAAATATATAGTCTACTCCATACATAAGTTAGTAATGTATGTAAGTAGTAGGTGATTTACAGGCCCCAATGGACCATTANAAACATTACAATGTTGCATATGATTAAAACTTTATTGATATTAAAACTCACAATCTGAAAATATCTTAAATACTGAAAGATCATTTAGTCAGTTAACTGCCACAAACTCAGTATCCTGGTTAAATATATAGTCTACTCCATACATAAGTTAGTAATGTATGTAAGTAGTAGGCAATTTACAGGCCCCAATGGACCATTTATGAATGAGTGTACTAGTTGATATATATTATATGCATAAGTCAATATTAAACTATAATAATATTAATAAACTACTAGTACTACTCCTACTACTACTACTCATATGAACACTACTCATCATCTGTATATAACAATATCTTCTTTTATTTCATTACTGAAGGAAAAAGTATGGGGGGTTGCATACAGGATACATGCTGATAACATAGATCCAGTGAGAAAGCACCTGGACTTCAGGGAGAAAGGAGGTTATACAGCCACACCAGTGGTGTTCCATCCTCTAGAGCCCACTATGGAGCCAAAGGAACTATTAGTATTCATGGGTGAAGCAGATAACCCTTTCTACATCGGTCCAGAACCTATTAGTGAGACTGCAAAAATTATATCAGTAAGCGAAGGACCAAGTGGAAAAAACACAGAATATTTGTTTGAACTAGCTAAGGCATTTAGAAAAATAATGGCTGGAATAGAGGATTCATACTTGTTCGAACTCGAAAAAGAAGTACAGAGATTATGTAATGATCATTAATGACAAATGTTTCATAGCACTACATAGAAACTAATGAAATAATATACAGAGGCACCCCTCCTCCACGAGTTAAATTTTTTTAAAAATTATTAAAATAGTTCCCTGAGTTTGTGCACATTTTAGTATGTCTGTACATTCAACAAAAGTAGACTACAGTACTCACTATGTTATGGTAAAGTAGTATATAATAGGTCCCATATTAGACAATAGGTTTCTGAAGTTATATAGATCTGAACATAAAAATAAAGTAAACAAACTGCAAAATAAAGTATTCTATCTTATCTTGAAAGTCACACAACTAGCCAGTCTAGACAGATTTTGTCTTTGACAATTGTAACTTGGGTGTTTATTACCATGTACATCTTTAACAGTAAATGTGATGAATAAATGACATGAAACAGCATTTTGATAGTTTTTATTTTCATTCAATATATAGTATATAAATACACACAAACACACATTTGAAGTCCAAATGAAGCTAAATTAATGATTAAACATGATGAATAAATGATGGACATTTATTAAATACCTTATACAATGTAAAATAAAGAAATGTAATTGAATTACCACATACGCTGGATTATTATTTATAGACTACTTCTGCTATAACAATTATTAATAATAATTAATGTGACTTATGTAAGTCATAGTTTATTTTTGAAAGCCATGAACTATAGCCTGAGAAGTTGAAAATGGATGTGGAGGCATATAGAGTAACACAGTATAACAGTTTTGACATTCATCAATGATAATAATCCATGCATTAATATGACTTATGGTATCCTACTCTGAAAAAACTAGTGGCATAAATACCGATAAATTTCTCTGGACCACTGATAGCATTCAATAAAGATGATGTCATTGAAAAGACTAGAATAAAAATTATTCTAAAAATTATTCAACTATGAAGTTGTGGCTATCATAAAATCCAGTTGCTGTCTGTGTAAAAGACTTTCTCTAATCAAAAGTGAATAGCACATCTTAGAATATATTGCACCATGCTAAATTCTACCTCACACGTCAGTCACTCAGGAGTAACATGAGATGGGGGAAGCCCAGCTGCTAGTCAATTGTGATCCTAGTTGTGATATCAGTAGGACACATTTTCTCACCTCTGGTCTTTGAGTCAATTGCTTTCTTATTTATCTAGGTTTTTTATATTGGGTTACTATTCTCTTGCAATTTTTAGTATCCCGTCCATTGTGACTTTTGGAGATTCTTTATTTAACTATATGTGGACTGTACACAACGTGTAAAATGGAGGAATCAGGAAAAAAACACTACACTACACTAGAAGAGGAGAAAAATTCTTCAGAAACTGGGATGAATGAATATATGAGCAATATAGACGCAAACTTTACTAAAATGGCCAGTGCCATGGCCAGCATGAGTAAGGCATGGATGGTGATGAGCAAGGCTCACTCCAGTGGGGTACACTCTGTGGCCCCTCAGACTGCCCACTCTGAAAGTAAGAGTCATGATGCAGTGTCGTCAGACTCTGATGAGGAGGGTGTGTTTAAGGCCCTTAAGACTGCCCACACTGGTAGTAACAGTAAGTAGCAGAGTCATGACACATTATCGTCAGACTCGGATGAGGACGACTGTGATGCAGAGGACTTGTTTGAAAAAGTTAGCAAAATAAGAGTCTAATGAAGAGGTAGACACTTCTTTAGATATCATTGATGAAGATCCCGATGACGATGAGGCTTTGGGTCCTGAAATCAGGGAAAAATTAGATATTTCAGATATCAGAAGTAAGGAGAGTGATTAAGATGATAAAGAACAGCTGTCAAGTTTACAAAGCGCTTGCCAAGATTCAGCAGACAGACTCATTGATATATGGCATTGATAAAAGCTACGGAAACGGTGAATTTCATTCACAATTTGACAAGATCTTTGACTGCCTAAATCAGTAGTAAATGGCCATAGTCTGTGAAATGAGAGACAAAATATGGCCCCACACATAGAAGTCTATGACCTCAAGATACCACTGGCTTGAAAATGTATTTTAGGGGGACTGAAAGAGTTGGAAAAATGAAATGAGAAACAAACCAGGCAATTTCTCTAGGTCAACAGGGCATTCTACTTTATCATACCCAATTGAATACAACAAGTTTATGGGAGGTATTGACCTCCTCAACATGTGTACCAATCTGTACTGTTACCCCTATCCCTGTAAAAGATGGTACATGTACATTTTCACACATTCCCTTACAAAGGCCCCTTGTCAATGCATCGTTTCTTTACAGAAGGTTGCAATTGGGCCTGGGAAACAATTCAGTTATGCCTCTTCAAAAGTTTCAATCGCAGGTTGCAAACAGCTTGACCTCTGTAGGTGTTGGTAAAAAAAGAAAACGAGGAAGACACTCTATAAATCTTAATTGAAATCTCACGAAGGAGAGAACCGTTTCCACGTCATATCTTCTAGTAGATTAATGTCCTGAGTTTCACTGGTGTTGATACACAAAAACAAACAGTACATCAGGCCATGGCCAAGATTTTGGGCAATGAGTTGGACACAAAATTCAACTGGCTGGGGAAGGTGGATAAGAAGAAGACCCTTCTTTGAAGAGCAAGGCGAACTGCTTGCACAACTGCCACAGAAACAGCAGTATGCTGGCGTTGCCCCGGAAGTACAGAAAGATGAATTTGACCATTTATGATAAGGTTTATTTGGGTGCAAAGCTGAGGGTTATGGAAGTATTTTATTCACACGTACTTGAATGAAGTCAAAAGTAAAAGATATGTTGGCATTCATTAGGTGTGTGTGAAAGTTATCTTCCAGAGTTTCTCAATGGAAAGTAAAAGAGATAAACATAAAAAAATGTTATTTTGGCTAGCAATTTGTAATAAATATCAGATTGAAATTGAATAAAGCAACCTTTTTGATTTTGGAACTGAGACAGCAGTTCTGTTGTTACTGACACCGGCATCTCTCGCTGATAATTTGGTGGAGTGACCAACCTTTTAATTGTAACTGTTAAAAGGAAAGATCCCGTAAAAAATGAAAAAATTTACACCAAGAGAAACAAGAAGTTTTACAGCTGCAAACAGAAAAACTGAAAGAGACAACTTAAAAGACAAACTAAGATCAATCAGTGGGAATGTTGGTGAGTCAGTATAATATAAGTCCACAGCTGACATGGGCCACAGCAACTTCAATGACAGAAACTTTGCCGTCGCCAACCTACACAAGTATACTGCAGCCAACCTAACATTCCTACCGCCATGAATCCAAGCAGACAACAAATGCCTATGAATCCTAACACTTAAGCAGTCACCAGTGCCTTCCCTTAGTCAGGACACCACCATATTGTCCAGTAAGCTTCAAAATCAAGGACAACAAGGACACAAGGTCACCAAGTTCCGGATTTTTCCTCAATGCATGACAAAGACAGGAAAAGATTCAAGTTGTGCCCAAGGGCTTACTCTTTTTACACATTTGTCAAGTGAATCAAGTGCAATGCCCACCTTTGTCTAACAAAGGTGGATAAGAAGGCTTTGACCTTAATGGCATCAGAATTAACAGGAACATATATTTCCTATCATGTATGAATTGACAGGAACATATATTTGCTATCAATATACCCTTTTGGCTTGCAGAGTTTCAAATTAAGTTACTGACTTCCCTGGAACAAATCAAAGAACAAGTAAAGACCAACCCAAAACTGCTGCAGACCCTTTTAACCCAGAAGCATCTTGATGAAGAAAAGGACAATTATGAAGATGGTGACCATGGTGACCTCCGTGGGCACCACACCCACAGAAACAGGACCCACGGTGCCAAGGTATACGGACCTTGGCCCCCAACCTATGACACACCCAATGCCAGCCACAGCTGTTGCCTCAGGAAGCACGTCAACTTTCTAGCAAACTCACAGCCAAGGCCACATGCCAACATTACAAAATTAGGGGTACATGGGCCCTCCCACCCAGGCAGGCCAATTCACCACACCAGCGCCACTTCATCCCACAGGGGAACAGGGGACAGGACAAACAACCACTCCAGGATGGCCCTTTGGGCCAACAGGAAGGTAGGCAGACTTTATCTTACTCCCCCTTGGACCATCACGTATCTAAAACCTTATGCCAAAAGATCTGGGACAATGAGTACGTGTCACTTAGAGACTTATTACCCCATACTTCCAACACACTGACACCCTTCGACACCGTCAATGATGAGCAATTCGTCCAACGGAAAAAGACAGATGCAGAAGGCAACCTGACTCTCATTTTGGCCCCAGTCACTAAAAAGAGCTCACCACTAACCTTCCTGCAATGGCAAGTGGCTTTCAATATTTTTTCGGCTATTTACATCCAAAAATTCCCCCATCAATCGCTCAATCTTCTGCAATATAACAATAGGATAGTTAAGATGTATGCAAATAAGGGCTCCCTCTGGCGATCCTATGACGAACGCTTCCGGGCCAACTTCAAGTCCATAGGTTACAAGTGGGAGGTCCCTGACGCAGTGCTCCTGGCCGAAATTACTTTCATCCAAAAAACACAGGAGGGTTTATGATGAGAGGTTCCAGCTGAAAACGAGGCAGGGAAGGCATCAAGTAGGAGGAGGATGACCCCGTAGTTTATGGTCACTCACTGGGGACCCCAAAATTAGACAATTTTCGTCCCCCCGAGGTGTGTAAAAACTTCAATAGAGGAAAATGTTCATTTACCCGTTGCAGATATCAGCACAAATGCTATCTATGCAACAAAGATCACCCCCTCTCTTTATGCCACTCAAGCGGAGCTAGACATTTTACTTCCCCTTACCCCAGAAAGCCCTTCCCCAACAGCCATTACGTCTTCTCTAGCCACCAAAAGTCCCAAATTTTCCAACCCAAATTCCACAAAAAATTCATCTAACCCAATTCAGGAAATTATCAAAATTAATAAGCCCTCATTACCTTTGGATCAAAACATTGTTACCCCCCTAAACCACACTGCATTGGAAGGAGGGTTACAATCCCCATATCACAAAATTTTCAACTCACGACTTCAGAGAAGGATTTATCATCCCTTACCAAGGAGAGTTACCTCACTCTCCCTCACAAAAATCTAAAAAACATGAGCATTTTGAGAAACTCAAGGAAAAGATCGATTCTGAAATCCAAGCCAGACGAATAGCAGGCCCCTTTCCCATCCCCCCCCCCCTTCCCCTTTTTGACCATATCCCCAGTTTCTGTAGTTCCAAAGAAGACCCCTGGAAAATTCCGTTTTATTCACAATCTCTCTTATCCTAAACATCACTCGGTCAATGATGGCATTGACGATGAATTTGCCTCAGTGTCCTACGCCACCATCTCGGATGCCATACAACTCCTGAAATCCCTAGGAAAAAACACATTTTTGGCCAAGACTCACATCCAAAATGCATTCCGAATCTTACCTATACACAAAGATTACCGTTTTTTGCTGGGTTTCTCCTTTCAGTCCCAATTTTACTTTGATAAAAACCTCCCAATGGGGCTGTGTTCCAGTTGCCAAAAGTTTGAAATTTTTAGTTCGGCAATAAAGTGGATTGCCAAAGAAAAATTTGATATACCTGACATCCTCCACTT